GCCCAGCTTCCCCTCCCCGTCTTCGCACCTTTTCAGAAATGCAAGGTCTCAAGAAATTTAGCCAGTGCACCCTTTCTGAAAAGGAAACTGAAGGATATACACCACCAAAACAAGAGAGTAAAACAAGAGAGTGGAAGATATTGAGTTCTAGAAGCAAAGACCCAAAATGGGAGTGAAGAAAAGGGGGTTCAATAAAGATTCAGCTGGTCCTGAGGCCTAGAGAGCAACCAGTCCAAACTGGAGCCGGAGAATAGAGGGCTGGGGAAGAGATGTATCCAGGGAAAGAAATGGAACTGCTCGATTCCCAGATGTGCTTACAGCTCTGTGGAAGAGTTTGGGGTGGGGGGGTGGGGACTGGGGATGAGTCCACAAAAAGAATCCGTAGCAACTAGGAGAAGAGACAATCATTAACTCCAAGAAAGACAAGATGACACGAAAGAAAGGAACTGTATTCCTAGGCTACCTCTTGCCTATCTGTGATATAATTAAATGGTCATAAGAAGGTAAATATCAAATGTTGATCTAACTAAAAAATTATGCTATAACTATGTTGGGAGGATAATGAAGAAGTTTGAGGGGGATGGGAGAAAAAGAACAACAGAACTAAAAGGCATATTTCTCTTCCATCATGGGAAGTCAGCAGGGACTGTCTAACATTGAAAGTTTAAGAAACAGCACTATAAGCATGTTATTTAGAAATACGGAGACATTTAATACCAGCGGAAAAAGCAGAGTTAACAGTGTCTCCAGGAAGCAGCCGTCAAGTGTGGGGGCGGGGCACAAAACGGCTGCTTTTTGTTATAATCTGCCTAGTACACTTTGCCTTTTTAAACTATATATCTGTGATACGTTTTCAAAATAAAAATTAAATTTTTAAAAAATAACAGGCAACGGGAATTCAGGATGCGCCTGAGTTCACACAGGGGTGGGGGTTCTGGTCCTTCACGGCAGGTCTTCAATGCTGGGACCAGCCTCTGGCTTCTTTGAATGCCAACACTTCAGAATTGCTTTAAGCTGGTCAGTTTTGCCTCAATTGTGTAAAATCAGCAACGAACTGAATGACCCAAAGATGGTTATACTCTAATTTCAGGATTTTTTAAATTAGTAAAACGTTTTTGGTGTCCTTTTCGTAACAGTTTCTGATCCACTCCTCAGTCTTTGGGTTTTCATATCTCTTATCACCTTAGCCATCTCTTTCAACTCAAAATATTTTCTTTAAATTCCGAAAGTGCTTTTCCAATTTGACCTCTGCTCCAAAGGGAGAATTTCCCTCTCAGTTTTCAATATTTTGTCAGTTTCTCAGAAATGACCTAAGACTTCTTAGCACTGAGAGTAAAAGCGAGAGAAAGTGCAGGGTTTTTCCTTAAAACAGAATAAAGAAAACCAGGTTTATTGAGAGAAATAATCGATAGCAATTGAAATCTAGCACAAGAGCTTTTCTACCTTGTTCCTAGGGAGTTATATTTTCTAAATGCTAATTCTGAATTATCATTTTGTGTATGTTTAGTACCAATTTATTTTAATTCAGGATTTTGATGGGGAAGTGTAAGTGACTAGACCAGTGGCTTTCAGTCACTCGGGAAGCTTTTAGAAACACTGATGCCTGGGTGGCTCCCATCAGCAAAGATTCTGGTTTCATCAGTCTGGGTGCGACAAGGGCATGGGAATTTTTTAAACTCCCCCTGTTATTCTGACATGCAGCAAAATTTGGGTACCATGACACTGGATAATGTCCCAGTTGTTCTCTCTCAGTTAAAAAATCTGAGAAAAAATCCAATCTGGTAACCATAATCCAGGCACTAAATTCACTTTGTGGCAAGTGCTCATATGGCCTATGAATTCCTGGAGGAAATAGCTGGTGGCTCTTGCAAAATTAAACCTTAAAGTGGCAGCAACTGTCACACAGCCATCCCTCAACCTCCTCCTCAGTCTGCGATAGATTCCCAAGATGGTGAAGCAAGGGCGGCATGACTAGCTGGCAGCGCTCCCTCATCATGGCTTCCCTCTGCACAGATAATGCTCATTTCTTGTCAAGTGGTTTATTCACCCATTTTAGAACCACCCTGATTGCCCAAATAACCAGCTTCTCTGTGCCTTTTTTTTTTTTTTGAGGAAGATTATTAGCCCTGAGCCAACATCTGTTGCCAATCCTCCTCTTTTTGCTGGGGAAGACTGGCCCTGAGCTAACATCCATACCCATCTTCCTCTACTTTATATGTGGGACACCAACCACAGCATGGCTTGCCAAGCGGTGCCATGTTCGCACCCGGTATCCGAACCAGGGAGCCCCGGGCTGCTGAAGTGGAACGTGCGCACTCAACCACTGCGCCACCAGGCCGGCACCTTCTCTGTACTTTTTAATCAAAGAATTAGATAGTCCCATCATAGTTAATTCTAAGCCTTTTGTTCTGGTCCCTGGCACATTGGATGAACAAAGGTTTTATGGAGCCCATTTCCTGTGTGGAAGTGGAGGATGTTTTGTAAGCATATGTGAATGGCTCTTCAACAACTGGAATGGCGTTTGCCCACCTTGGATAAGCCCGTGTTTGGAGAGGAGGAATCATGTCCCACAGCTGAGCTCGGAGATTGGTGACTGCGGTCGGCAGTCGGTGCCTATTAGAGAAGTAGGCGAGGGGCTCTTGGAAGGAGGACCTACTGAACCAAAAGGCACAGTTGAGACCAGGCCAGGGAGAGCATTTCTGAACTGCAGACAGACAAGGGGTAGGTGCCAATGTGCTGATCTGGAGCCCAGGTAAAAAGAGACAGGCTGACATGGGGCCATACTGGCCTGACTCCCAGAACAGAATAACTGCTGGACCCCCTAGGAAAGCAGGGCACAAGAGAAGGAGCCAGAGAGGGAAGAAAGCCATGGTCATCTTCCTACAGATGAGCAGCACTCCAGTCTGGAGGAGTAGGGAAGGGAAAGAAGACCCAAGGAGCTTCTCTGGGGCCATCATGTCTCAGGGCCAGAGGCCTCCAAGAGCAGGCAGGGAGCCCTTGTGAAATACCCCAGTCCTAAACCAAAGCCACCTACCCCAGCCACAGCCTACAGCTCCCGATGCTGTGTGCATACCCAGGTGGTACATCCCACGCTGCTCCATACACATTTTGAGTGTAGTCAGTCCATTGTGCAGGAGCTCAGCTCAGACCTGAGCGACAGGGAACACACTCAGAATGTCCCCAAGTCTGGGCCTGGCAGAGGCAGGAAACCATCGGTGGGTAACGACTGCAAACAGACCTTAAATAGAAACAGAAATGCATGCCTATTCAGCCGTTTGAAGGCTGGACCAGTTTCTAATTTTCCTTATTATACTAAAGAACCAAGATTTTTGAGCTAATATATGAGACAGAACACGAGTACAAACTCCATCTTAATTATTAACAGAAAATGCAAATTGTTATCTTCCTCCATGTATGTTTAAATTAATCCTGATCTATGTATACATATATCAGAAAGTCAAACCCAGTGCTCCTAAACCCATCCCTTTAGTTTCATAAACCCTTGCAGTACGGCCAAAAGCTCCATAAAAATACAGGCCTTTTTCCCCCAGGTTCTGAGTGTTGAAAAACCTCTACAAATCTGCATACAGATATTATGGGCTATGGGATGTTCGACCTTAGTTCATCAAACATTTATTGAGCACCTACTTTCTACTAGGAACCGAGGATGCAAGAAATAAATCAGACCCAGTACCTGCCTCCAGAGGCTCTCTGAGAGAGAAAGATGCAAAAACAGATCATTTTAATACAATATAATGTATGCAAACCACAGAGGTATGAATAAGTGATGGGAGACTGGCCTGTGTGAGGAAGGGAGGAGAGAACCAGCAAAGGCTCTTGGAGGAAGCGGCCCCTGAGCCTAACAATGAAGAACGAGGAAAACAAAAGTTGAAATATTACCTGTGCTATTTTACAAAATGAGAATAAGGTCATTCCTTGTAGAGCATAATAGAAAAATAATAAATAATAGTTGGGGAAGAAAACTTCTCCTACCCTAGTTCAACAATTATTTGAGCAGAGAAACAAGATGACCAGAGTTAAGAGGAAAGGCAGCAACATCAGAAACCGTGCAAAAATGCCCAGCTTATCAGCCGTGACGGCAGGAAGGGTGAGATCAGCACGGGGGAGAGGTTTTTATGGGCCAAACGCGGCTAGCCCCCATCTAAGGAACCACAGTAAAACAGCAGCCGTCAAGGCTTGGAGTGGGGACGTGTAACAGCATTGAGAGCAGGATGTAGGTGGCAGAGGCGCTCACATGAGTCTCCAGGCCCCCACGAAGGAAGGGAGGTGCTTGAGGAAGACGCCTGGAGACGTAGTCATTTCACTACGTGTATGTCGTGGGGCAGAGGAGGAAGGAAGGTTTTATCACGACTGCTATCACACGGGTAGTGGCTATGAATCTAAGGTCACAGCCCAAGTACACAAGAAATAGGACTTCACTTATCCATAACTTGGTTTCTTTTTAAGCCCCATTCCACTGAGGGTCCCTTCTTCTTTTACCCAGAGTTACAGAGGACCAAGGCACCGGAGTGGGCGTGGTGATCTCCTCTTCTGTTATTATCTGTTATTATCCACCCACACTGATATAAACTCAGATGTTTTTTTGTTACCTGTCATTCCCAACTAAACGCCCTATTCAGGTTCAGCTGGTCCAGCCACTTCCATACCACTCTCCAGTGCCCAGGAATTAATTCTTCTCCTCCCACTCCATGCTGAGCCTCCACAACCATGAAACTGTGTAAGACCCTGTGAAATCCATCACAGGCTGGCCAAGGGAAACATATGACCGAGACACATGACCCAGCCATGTCTTCTCTGTGGTCTTGCCATTTCCCTGGGACTCCAGAATGAAATGAACACGTGGCCCCAGTGAAATAAACTGTGTTAGATTCACTACTGGTATTTGATGATTCTAGCTAACAAGGGTATCACTTAGCATGCCTTCAGATATATGTGTAACGGTCATCTGTTGCTGTATAACAAATTATCTCAAAACTTAGTGGCTTAAAACAATAAACATTTATTATTGCACAGTTTCTGGAGGTTAGGAGTTTAGGTGTGGCTTAGCTCAGCAGTTGTGGTCAGAGTCTCTCACAAGGTGGCAGTCAAGATGTGGCTGGGGTTGCAGTCATCTGAAGGCTTGACTGGAGCTGGAGAATCCACTGTCAAGATGGCTCACTCACATATCTGGCAAGTTAGTGTTGGTTGTTAGCAGAAGGCCTCAGTTCCTCACCACATGGACCTCCTCATAGAGTTGCTTGAGCATCCTCACAACATGGCAGCTGACTTCCCCCAGAACCAGTGATCCCATAGAGAAGACAAGGGGGAAGCCACAGTACCATTATACCCCAATCTCAGAAGTCACTCACCGTCCCTTCTGCCACATTCTTTATTCATTAGAAACAAATCACTAAGTCAAGCCAACACTCAAGGGTAGGGGAATTAGATTCTACCTATTAAACAAGGAATATGAAAAAAAAGCTCTATTTTAAAATCACCACAATAAGTAATAGAAAAAACCCTCAAATTAGCTTGAAAAATGAAGGAGCTGTATTGACTCATTAATTGGAATCCAGAGATAGGACAGATTTCAGGATGTTGATTGATCCAGTGGCTCCTTGAAGTCATCAAGGACCCAGCATCTTTCTGACTTTCCTCTATTATCCAAAATATCATTCTAAAGTTGTCTCTCCTCATGGTCACAGGATGGCTGCCAATAGCATTGAGGAGTATGTGCTTCCTTGTTCATATCCAGCCAGAGAAAGAAGGCTGAACTCCTTCAATTATAAAATAAAAGTCCCCTGTGGTCAGGGGAGACTCACGTGCTGATTGGCTTAGACCTGGTCTACCTGTGCTAATCACTGCAGCAAGGGGGTGGGACCACCTGACCGGTTTAGACCTGGATCTTGGTGTTGGTCATTCCCTCCCAAATCACAAAGTTTACACAAGCGGTGAGGCAGGTTGGGAATGTTGGGGAACAGTGTTCACCACAGAAGGGCTAGGAGAGGGGTGGGCTGGAAGCAAAGTGCCGGTTCCAGGAGAGCTAATATTAAGAGCCAGGGCTCAGCGCCCTGAAGCTGCAGAGAAACTGGAAGCCCTCACTCTGACTCAGCCTCCCCACCTGCCCCTTTCCAGTGTCAAATACCCACCCAAGTGGAGACACAACTGGACCAACAAGCCTCTCTTTTGGAAGGCAGAGTCCTTGAGTGTGACCGCATCAGTCAGCTTGCGTTCCGTCACTTGAACCTCAAGATTCCAAGAGCTCGGGCTCCATGGGTTAGAGCTTAGATTGGGAGGGAGATGGGAGGAAGGAAATGAAAAGAGGAAAGGAGGAGAGGGCGACCTTCACACAGGGCATTGTCACCAACTTTCTTCCCCCAGGCCCACACAAAGCATCCCTCTCCAATTGCATCAAGGCCATGATGGGGTAGCCCAACTTACAAGGGCCGTGAGCCTCGGCGTCAGGCACATACAGAGCAGGGCTCACTATGCTGGGCCCTGTATTGGCTTCCTAGGGCTGCCATACAAAAGATCATAAACTGGGTGGCTTAAAACAAGTGAATTTTATTCTCTCACACTTCTGAAGGCTGGAAGTGCAAAATCAAGGCGTGGGAGGGATACGCTTCCTCTGAGACTCTGGGTAGAATCAATCTTCCTTGTCTCTCCCCAGCTTTGGTGGCGGGCAGCAATCCTTGGCATCACTTGGCTGCAACCGCATCGCTCCGATCTCTGCCTCTGTCATCACACGGCGTTCCCCCTGTGTGTCCGTCTTCACACGGTGTTTCCCACTTCTTATAAGGCTGTGGATCACATTGGATCCTGATCTCTAACTTGCCCACATCTGCAAAGGCCCTGTTTCCAAATAAGGTCACATTCACAAGTACCAGGCAACCGTGGACTAAGGATAAGCACATATTTCCCAGTCTAGTCACCCTCAGTGGATCTGGGAAGCAAAGCAAGGGATCTCTGTCTGCTGGGCCTTCAAGAATGCAACACACTGGACACCTATGGCTGGAGGCAACGTCTCTGTTGAGTCAGCCAGTCTGTGTGCTGAATGCTCACCCTGGTAATGGCTTCCAGAACCAGCGAGTGGTACCGAAGCTGCAGTCAGGCCCTGGTAATGTTAACCCAGCCTGGTCTCCTCTCTGGGCCTTGGTTTCCCCATCTGTAAAGTCTAAGGAGACTTCTAGGATCTGCAAGTGACTATGAAGTGGACACATCTGGTCCAAAACAGCTCCACATCCAAATTCCCAATTAATTTATGGCCATTTAGTGGGTGTCCCTCGAGACATGCAGGAATGCTCATTAGAGCTATGCAAGCATCCCCTGGGGACAGTGTGGATTATAGTATGCAGATTCCGAATCGAGATAGTAAAGAAGCTACTGCTCTTCTCTCCCCAGGAGCCAGAGCTTTGTATTCATACAGCATATCTGGACACGCACACAGACACCCCTTTACACACATCTAAGAAATCGTGGAGGGTGAGAGCAAAATGCAGGGCAAAATGTCTAAATTACAGAAGAGTTGGGTTAGTTCATGCTGCAGAATCACTCGGCAGCCAGTGTTCTCTTGGCTTCAGTTCAGCAGCTTCCCCTACAGAAGGAAGGGAAAACATTCTGCGGCCCAGCAGGACAGAGACTGGAACACAAGCTACAGAGACCTGCAAGGGTCAGCAGGGCCGTCCAAGAACTAAAGGCCACAGGGCCAGCCACATCCAATCCAGCAATCGGCAGCGAGCCTATTCAGTAATGCCCTGCCGAGGGCCGGGGATCCAGAAAATCGGACCAAACTCACCAAGGAAGGAACCTGGAGAGGACCAGGTAGAGAATCAGGTCCCAATCTTGCAGGCTGATTCACTCCGGGGTGGCACTCCCAGGCCAGCCTGGAAGTCCACACCCAGAAGAATTTGATGGGGTGAGTGCTGAGTAAATAGGAAAGGGAGGAGGAGGATTTCAGTGATAAGGGACAAGTCATGTGGCAATGGGAGGAGATCCTTCGACTCGGTGGGCTCTGAAGACCCAGGGCTGCCCCAGACATGTGAAATATCAGGCCTCCAAGTAGCAATTCTGGCCCCCCCCCCACTCGCGGGCCAAGGTCCCCAGAGGTCTCCTGGACGCTGGGTGCGGTGGGCTGAGTCCAGGCAGGGCTGGAGGGCAGAGACAGACACGGCACTGTGCGCGTGTCAACCTGTTCCTCCAGGTCCCCGAGAAAGGGCACTCCTGCTCCACCCACCTCCAACGAGTCTTCACCACACCCTATCTGTTGGAGAACAAGACCTGGACTCAGATGGCTGGACTTGAATCCTGACCCCGCCATTCATCAGCTTTGTAATGCTGGGCAAATGACGTAACTAAACTAGGTTGCTCTATCTTCGTCTGTAAAATGGGAAAATAATAACACCTGCTTCCCAGGGTTGTTGTGAGGCATAAGTAAGAAAATGCGTGTAAGTAGTGTCAGTGGTGAGCACAGTGCCTGACACACAACACACACTACATAGAGATATTCCCTTGTTCTTATGTAAAAATGAGTAGGGCTTGTGGGTGAAGGGAGTATTGTCTGCAGGACAGAACCCAGAGTCTGTCTTCAAATCCCTTGATTAAAATTCCATGCAGTCTATGGCACTTGGGAGCCGCTAAAGGTACTGCTTCACGTCTAGAAACAAAATCAGAAAACAGGAGGCCTCTTTCCCCAGGTCAAAGGAAGCTGCTCACCCTAGTAACAGCGTTCTGGAAAAAGGTGTCCTCTCGTTGCCTCACTCACTTGTGCCCAACTAAGACTAACTCACAGCTCTGGCTGCTGCCCCAGGAGGCTGCTTATGGGTCCCCCTCCTCCCTGGGAGACAGGGGGCATGTCTCAGGGAGGATTCTGCCTGTACCCCCTCTGCCACCCGCCCCTCCCGTTGGAAACAGAAGGCGACACCGAAGGATGTGCATCCCCTGCAGAGCCCAGATGGCTCCAGAAACCACTGCTGGGAGGCACGGCCCCCTCACCACGGCCTGAGGGAAGAGCGTCTGTTGGCACGAAGCAATCCCTCGTGACTGTCCTGTTAGGGCCAAAGCCCCTTCACCAGCTCCCATGGGACAATCTGTTTGGGCTAAGACCGGGGCCAGAGCACAGGGCAGCAGGGAGCGGTAACAGCCCTTAGGCTTTTATATGAGGACACCTAACCAAAACCTCTTGCCTTTGCCATCAGCCCATCCCAGCTTTCCGCAGAGGTGGCATCTTTTCCCAGGACGCCCATATGTTGGCCTAGGTCGGCGGTCTCCACTATATCAGAATCACCCAGAGAGCTTTGGCAAAACAAGATGCTTGGGCTCCAGCCTGGACTCTGAAACAGAACCTCTGGGGAGTGGAACTCAGGGAACCTGCGCTTTTTAAAAGCTTGTGAGGTGATTCTGAGGGTTATGAACCACTCTTCTGATGCACAGTGAGGGCTATGAACCACTCTTTTAGACATTCGTCCATAGCTTTGCTGGGCCTTTCTGAAGCAAAGGAGCTGCTACATAGAAAATTCTCCCCACCCTAATGCCTGTGCATGCACACACACACATGCACACACACATACACACACCCACAAGGATAGGGAGCATAGGGTGGTACAACTGAGTCATGAGCACATGCATCTCTCCCTAGCTGGCCCACCCAGTTGAGCAACGAGCAGCCGCTGCACAGGTCGGTGCTGTTCATCAAGCCCTCTGCAGGGATACGAGTGCCTTTCATCTCCTTGGCTGCCTGTGAAGTAGTGACCATTATTCCCATTTTGCAGAAGAGGGACTTGACGCCTGTGGTTAGCAGAATAATGACTCCTCCACAGACATCCACATCCTAATCCCCAGAGTTTGTTTTTATAAATGTATATTTGCAATACTGAAAGAGCTACCTAAACGTCACTAATGGGTCTCTTTCTGTAACAAGCTACAATTGATTTTCACTTTCTTCTTTTTTCCTTCTGAATGCCTAACTCTTTTCTTTTTTCTTTTTTTTAAATTTACTTATTTTTATTTTTTTGCTGACAAAGATTCACCCTGAGCTAACATCCCCAGAGTCTGGTGGTTTTGAAAATTCATATAAACCTTTTGAAAAATGTTTACTATAAAAAGTCTTTGATGCAGGAATTCCACATCTGGGAATCTATCCCAAGGAAAAACAAACACAAACACGAAAATACTTATGAGCAAAAATATTTGTTACAGAGTTATTTATATTATATAATTAAAAACCTAAATTTCCAAAAATAAAGAAAGGCTTAAGTAAAATATGGTATATCCACTCGATGGAATATTATGTAGTCAATAAAAATGTTTGCTCAGGCTATGTATGAACATAAAAAATAGATTATAATATTTAGTGAAAAACCAGGATTTCAAATGATATATACAGCATGATTATAAATATGTAGTGTTCATTATGTCTATCTTTTAGTAGTCGAACCATAAGTTATATTTTTCTTCTATTTGACCTGTATTTTATTAACGCTTCGTAAATGAGTATTACTGTGGGCTGAACAGTGTAAACGAGTATTATGGTAAACGCCCCACAGGTGCCCATGCCCTAATCCCTGGGACCTGGGAATATGTTACCTCCCATGACAGAAGGGACTTTGCAGATGTGACCAAGCGAAGGATCCAGATGAGCAGAGTATCCTGGGGTATCCAGGTGCCCCTGATATAATCACAAGGGTCCTTCTAACAGGAAGGGTCAGAGTCAAAAAAGACGTGATGTTGGAAGCAGAGGTCAGAGTGATGTGCCCAGGAGCCAAGGAACTCGAGCATTCTCTAAAAGCTGGAAAAGGCAAGGAGTGGTTTCTCCCCTGGAGCCTCCAGAAGTGCACAGCCGTTAACTTTAGCCCTGCAAGACCAGTTTCAGAATTCGACCTCCAAAACTGTAAGACAATGAGCTTGTATTGTTTTAAGCCATGGGTTTGTGGTACTTTGTTTCAGCAGTAATAGGAAACTAACGAAAGACCCAAAGAGGCAAAACCCAAAGTTGCCGCAGCTCTTACCTGGAAGAGGTGAGACCACAGCTCATTTTCCTCCCACTCTAGCACTCTGGGGGTATGCAGGAGCCAAGAGCTCGTACAAGAGGAGAGACAGCCCTTCTGTGTGCGTGCCCCCCTCCAAGGCTATGAACTGGCCACACCTCTGTCCGTCCTTGCTGTTGAGATGTCGCCTTTTCCTCCACAGCCCCCTCCTTAGGGACTGCGGGGTGGTGTACAGGGAAGAGTGGAGGGACCGACTTGAAGAGAAGAGCATCTTTCTTTGGGACCCTCTGCTCCCCAGCCACCAGGATCTTTATAATAGCTAGTCACTATCCATAGCAACAAGGTCTGAAATTCTAAAACAAGTGAAAAGCTGACAATACGTATCTAAAAACAGAGTGTGAGTTCTACCATTTTTAAAACTGCCTACAATTGCTGAAAGGGCTGCACTTTTTTTTAAGAGGAACATGAGTCATGGAAGTGTAGCACTTTAGGGCTGCAAACTTTAATTGACTGCCTCCTGTTTGGCTTCATATATTAGGATGCCCCACCATATTTCAGAAAGATTTAACATCCCACTGCAAACACCTTTCTGAGCAGGGCTGTGTGGTGGATCAGAGGTGGAGGCTGCATATGTGGAGGGAAGAGCCCTCACCTGGGAGACGGGAACTCAGGCCTCCAGTCCTTAGCTCTGCTAACTTGAGCATGAGCCGGAGGCAGTACAGAGGAGAGGCTGAGTCAGAGATCTTGGCTGCAAGGAACAGAAAGGACTCTGGCTAAGTTAAGCAGAAGGGGATTTACTGTAAGGCTATTGAAGGATCAGAATCGAGGGAGGTTGGAACACCTGGCTCGGACCACACGTGGTAAAAACCAAGGGAGCCCAACTACCGGAAATCCAGGCACCACGCTGATACGGACCACCCAATCAACAGGAGGCTGCTGTTGCCCCTGACAACCTCCCAATGCAACTCAGCCTCACAACATTTGCCCCAGCCTCTGACAAGATCAGCCCCATTGGCTGAGCCAAGGTCACGGCTCCCCCAGTGGAAGGACTTGGGCTGTCTGGATTTTGGCTTTTAGCTTTTAAAATGGAGGGAGGGTACACCATCACACACGTGAGGAAAGTAATCCCTTTACCTGGATGGTTCTCGAAGTGTGGCCTCCGGACCAGCAGCATCAGCATCACCCGAGAACTTGTTAGAAATGCACATTTCAGCCCCTCTCCCCTACTGAATCAGAAACTGTCTTACCAAGCCCTCCAGGTGACAGCGACACACACCAGTTTGAGAACCACTCCCCTACAGGAAACCCAAATGCTACTAAAGAGATTGATGTCGGCCATCAAACCAAAAAAACAATTGCCCAGGACGTAGATTAAAAGCCAGACTGGCAGGGGCCGGCCCCGTGGCCCAGTGGTTAAGTTTGTGCGCTCCGCTTCAGTGGCCCAGGGTTTTGCTGGTTCGGATCCTGGGCACCGCTCGTCGGGCCACGCTGAGGTGGCGTCCCACATAGCACAACCAGAGGCTCTCACAACCAGAATATACAACCATGTACTGGGGGGTTTTGGGGAGCAGAAGAAAGGTGGGGTGGGGAGAGAAGACTGGCAGCAGTTGTTAGGTGTTGATCTTTAAAAAAAAAAATGCCAGATTGGCAAGAAAACTACAGAATTGGGGGAAAGGGCCTCTTTAGACAATGTTTGTCTTATTGACATTTGACACAGTGTGGTTGTTTTTCTGCCTCCTCCAGCCGTAACGTCCTTGCAGCCCCAGCACCTAGGAGCTGGCCCTCGGGCTTCGGATCTGATCAGACCAGCCTGCCCCTCATCCAGGAGGAGACTAGGGGAAGTCAGTCATCTCTGAGGTTTAGACTGAGCTAGAGGGACACCACATGGCCATGTTCGGTATGACAATCAAGCCAGAGGGCTTCTGTTACTTTATGTGGCGGTGTATTTATAAAGACTATGAAACAATGACGTTAAGGATATTTTTGAGAATAAAAAACAAAAAAAAAAGAACTAAAGTTCACCCACAATTATTCTAATAAGATTTTTTCCATCTGTCCCTACTCTTAAACATTTTCTGACAATTACAGCCACAGCACCCAGTCTGTTAAGCATCCCTCTCTTTTCCATGGAAATCCCATCCTCAGCATTTCCCATGCTCATTCAAGGTTTTTGCAATCATTCTCTTCAACGATAGTCAACAGCAGACCCTCAAGAAATGTTAGGACAGTGAAATGGAGGGAAAACACATTAAATTGTTTGGGAGGCACGTGGTTAAGAGCTCCATTTCTGGAGAGACACAGGGAGGGGTTCAAAACCCAGCTCTGCTACTTGCTAGCTGTGTGATCTCGGGCATGTGTCTTAGCTTTTCTGTATCTGTTTCCTCATTGGTCAAATGGGGTGAGAGAAGAATACTATCCACTATACAGGGTTGTTATGCGAACTAAGTAACAATGTGTGAGGAGACACTCTACCAGGGGCCTGGCCTGAGCCCTAACATTTGCATCATCATTATTATTTTAAATGCGTCACCATTGGAACCAACACATCTGATGCCAGCTGAAGACCTCTCTTGGATGGGACCCCTGAAACTGCAATGAGTTGACTCATAGCTGGAAAAATATACAAGAAGGCAGCCTAGACTTCAGCAACTAGAATCTTGGAACAGGCAAACGGGATTCCTCCCGTCCCCACTCCTTGGCGTCAATATCAACCTATACGACCCTCTTCCCAGCTCCTCCGGGTCGCTACAGGCCCCAGGTTCCTCGCCTGCAAAAGAAGGAATGAGATTACCTACCAGCACCTTCATCTAAAACACACTGTGCTCAGAAATGCAGAGACAAGCTTGGGATTCTCTCCAGGACACATTACCCCACAAGGCACTTGGGATGCATTCAAGGACAACATGACGTATAGCTGCCTGAAATCTGCCGTGCACTCTGCCCAGAAATTTATTTCTACGGGAAGTCATCTCGCTACCAAGCGAGCCTTAAGGAACAAAAGCAAACAGAGGGAAGAAAAGCCCAGAGACCCTCTAGAAGAGCATATAAGGAGATTGTCTCTCACCAGCATCTTCCAGAGAGCCAGCCAACCACTTGGTGAACAAGTCTTCCCGAGACCCCCTGCTATGTGTCAGGCCAGAGGGTACAAGATAAAACAGGCCCTGCCTCTGTCCTCAAGGACTCAGCTTTTTGTAGGGGACAGGCATGGGGAGAGACATAGACACATCTGCCAATAACGCTGATCGTTTCATTAAGTGCTAGAACACAGGGAGGTTCAAGGTGCAGTGGGAATGGGGAAGTGAGCCCTTAATTCTGCCCTGAACAGTGAGGGAGGGCTTCCCAGAGGCGACGTCCTCTGAGGGAGCATCAGATGACTGGTGGTGAGACCAAAGCAGGGCTGGATCTATTAGAAAGCTCTTCATTACTCTGAACACGATAAGGCCTGAACTAGGACAGGGCCCTGGACTAGAGTGGAGGGAAGCGGGGCATCAGAACTGCCTGGGGGAGCAAGTTAAAATGCAGATTCCCAGGCCCTGCCCAGAGACCCAAGTCTAGTCCGTCAAAAAGAAAGGCCCAAGGGGCTGGCCCCGTGGCCGAGTGGTTACGTTCGCGCGCTCCGCTGCAGGCGGCCCAGTGTTTCGTCGGTTCGAATCCTGGGCGCGGACATGGCACTGCTAGTCAGACCACGCTGAGGCAGCGTCCCACATGCCACAGCTAGAGGAACCCACAACGAAGAATACACAACTATGTACCGGGGGGCTTTGGGGAGAAAAAGGAAAAAATAAAATCTTTAAAAAAAAAAAAAAAAGAAAGGCCCAAGAATCGGAATATTTCGCAGGTCCCTCTCCCAGAGGAATGGTACCACAGTAATCCATACTCACCCCTCTCAACCCACAATCATCCTAGTCACCCCTCCTTGTGGCCTCCGTGGCCTCTGCCTCGAAGGTTCCTCCCTTTCTGCTCCTACATGGCAAATGCTTCCTCTCCTTCCAGACCCAGCCACTCAAACACTGACAGATAAACCCTTTCAGAGCATCGCTTTGTGCCAGGTACCAACTTAGTACTTTATATAGATTCTTATTTTAATCTCCAGAACACCATACAGTAGGTCTCCTAATAAACCCCATTTTAGAGATGAGGAAACTGAGGCACAGAGCAGTTAAGTTACAGGTGCACGGTCATACTGCTGGGCTGTGTGTTTTGTCTGTGTCCCCTCTGGACTGCTCACATTATGAGGCTGAGGTTCTGTCTCTGGCCCTGGAACCTGGGGCAGTGCCCAGCACGTTGAAGTTGCTTAGTAAATATTTGCTGAACAAATAAAAGAATAAACAAACACCATCCGCTTCCATCTGTGACCCTCAGCCAGCGTCCAGGCAGCAAATCGGCCCCCTCCCCCTGCCCTCCTCCCCCTCCCACAGCCAGCTCCTCTCCTCCGGGGCCTGGCCCCTCCAGGAAGCGTTCAGGCCCCGGAGCCCGGCCCCGCCCCGGTGCTGACTCAGTGGCAGGGGCACCAAGGAATGTGCTTGCCCTGTTGGCCGAGCCTTTTTATTTGGTAATATCAGAGAGGCGCTCTCCCAGCGCCGGACTGGCCCCCTCAAAGTCTCCTCCTTCTTGGGGCTTCCGGCCCAGCGCCTCCCTCCCCGCTGCTCTCCCTCCTGCTCCCTCTGGCTCCGGCTTCACCCCGCGGCCTTTTTGCTCCTCTCGCAGCATTCTTCCTCGCTTCCCTTCCCCTCTGTCTCCCTCCCGATTCTCTCTAGGTTTTCCTCCCGCTTTTCTCCTCTCTTTCCCCTTCTCTCCCCCATCTCCTCTGTCCCCTCTCCACCCCGTTCCTTCTCGGCCTGCAGGCTGCTCTTCTGCTCTGTCTCTGCTGACCTGTGTGTGTGTCTGTCTCTCTTTCTGTTGATCCGTGTGTGTCTCCCTCTACTTCCCTTTCTGTCCATCTTTCTCCTCTCTGCTCTCCCTCCCATCCCCCTCTCCTTCCCGTCCCTCCACCCCCCCATCCCCCTCCCATCCCCCACCCATCCTCGTCTTCTTCTCTCCCCTCCAGCTCCCTGCCTGCTCCTCTCCCCAGACCCGGCCCTGTTTCCTCTCTGGCCTCTCCCACCCTCCCAGAGGAGGCCATTGAGCAGTCCCGGCTCCCTCCTCTCTGCTGCGCAGCCTTGGGCCTCCAGCCTTCCCACCCGCATCCCCAGGCCCCCTAATCCTCTGGGTCCTCATTACTGCCTTCTCCCCTCAAGCCCAGCCTCACCTGCCTCCCGAGGGCTCCTCCCCGGCCCCGCTGGGGACCGGTCTCCCCGAGCTGCCCCCACAGCTCTGCCTCCCTGGCTCCCTGCAGTGACAAAAGAGAAGAAACGTCGTATTCCCCAGACTGGGCTCTCAGCCTGCCGATCCAGGCCCGGGGTCCCCACCCTCCCCTCTGCTGCCTTCGGACAAACTGCAGAAACCCTGGAGCTGGGGCCCAAGTGGCCCGGACATCTGGATGCCGCCCAAGGGAGTGCGCCGTGCGCCCGCCCTGCCCGTGCGAACAGCGGGCTCCAGAACGTTCCTCAACACCCGCGTCCGAGCTGCAGTGCGGGGGCCCCTGGCTAACTAGCGCCAGCCTCGTCCGTCCTCCCTCCGGGGGCCTTTGGGGCCTATGTGGCTGCCCAACCCGGAGATGTGCTGCCCCTCCGCCAACCCCCGGGTAGCGGGGGGGGGGGGGGGGGAGCATCCCCCAGTGGCCCCGATGCTCTGCGGGGAGGTCATCCCTGCTCTGCCCCGCCGACCCTCTGCCTGCGCCACCGCCCTGCTGCCCGGGGCAGAAGCCGTCAGGGAGGCGCCAGACAGGCTTAGGGAGGACGGCAGGGCCCCCGGGGGCTCAGCTCAGCAAGGGAGTGCGAAGAACCGGCTGGGCTGCGGGCCGAGGAGAGCTGTCTGAGCCCGGTACCCCAAATCTTAACGCAGTACTTTCGATGGACACTTACCCAGGAGCCCGACGTGTGCCTGGTACTGGGTACCAGAGATGAAAACAAAACAAAACAAAAAACGCTGCCCATGCGCTGTAGCTGATGGGAGAGAAAACCACGCAAGCAGTAAATACAATGTGGTAAATGCAGTCACAGAAATGGATAGATCATTCTGAAAGGACCCTTTACTGAGCACATATTTAATGCCATAAACTGGTCTAAGCATTTTACATATTTTATTTCAGTCCTCATAGGTGCAAAAGCTATTATCCCCATTTTACAGAGGAGGAAACTGAGGCTCAGTTACGTAACTTAATTGCACAGCTAATAAGTAGTGGAGCTAGGATTCCTAAACTGTCTAAATGACTCCAAATTACTGCTTCCTACTGATGTAAGGTACTATGGGTAAACAGAGTTACCAACAGTTAAACTCTGTTGCAGGGTGGGGTAGACGTGAGCAGAGTGGATGGGAAGGCTTGGAAGAGAAGGTGAAGCCTGCTTGGGTTTTGGAGGATGAATAGGAGCTCCCTGACAGCCAAAGAGCATAAAGGCAATCCAGGCCAGGGCCTGGTGTGTGCCATCTCCCTTGATTTGTTGTAAATTTTTCCTCTAATAAACTTTCAAAAATCTGCAATAACTTCTGGTCGCTAAAAATTGTAAATAACTTAGTTAATATTCAATTCAGAAATTCCCTTAGCCTCCCAACATGACTGGCCTCATTAAAAAAATGTCAGTTAGTATTTAACGGTAACATTAAAGTCAGCCTCAAAGAGGAAAAAAAAAATCACCCATAATGCCACCATCCCAACACGGCTTTCTTAGCGGCTTTTTTTTCTCCCATTTCTTGTCAGTAAATGCATGGGCGCTTAACACAGGCAGCATGGAAGGCAGCTCTCTTGGTTCACTCCTTAGTGTGGCCAAGGGAATATTAGTCTTTGGTAGGATTTATACATGTTCTCCAAGTGACTATTTTTTGTTAGTAAAATTTCTCTATTGCAGTCACTATTCTTATGTGGGAGAAGCAATCTAATATCAAGTTTCTTGCTTTGCAAAGGAGACACGCCCAGTATGTGCTCACCTGCTTAGAGGAACTGTCTGCACAGAGGAGACTGAGTCCCTCCCCTGGTGGCCAAGCGGAAGGCTCCTCCCCAGATGACTCTCTTGCTCCCCAAACCTTCTGCTGGCATCAAGCGGCCGCGCCCACCCAATGTTCTCAGAACACGGCAAGCGCACCCCCATCGCCGGGCCTTTGTTCTTATCCTTCCCCCGACTCCAGCATCTCTCCTCTTCTCTCTGCTTTCCTTGGACTTTTTTTCAACCTCCATTCTTTAGGATGCAAGGGAAGTCCCAATTTGTCAATAAAGCTTTTTCGGAGTGCTTGGTAATTTTTCCTGCCTCTGAGCCCCTCTGGTTCTAGCAATCTAACCACTCATTGTTTTATGCTCTTGTATCACTTACAGATAGCTCTGTCTCCTAGATTTGAGGATCGTAAAAGCAAGGACTATATCCAATTTCTCCACCTCTGCTTTCTGCTCACAGCTGACATTTCGCAAATGTGTGTTGATTATAATGTGGCTGATCATATGTGATGCAGAACACTAGAATTTCTGGCCATAAAAGACGGATGTGGACTTGGAAGTGACTGAGTCAGACTCAAATCCTAGTGCATCCATTTACTGATGATGTGACCTTGGAAAAGCCTCTGAACCTCTCTGAGCCTTAGTTTTCTCATCTGTAAAATGGGGGCAATAATAGAGTTATCAGGAGGGTTTAATGAGGTCATGCTTCGCACAGCGTAAAAAGTGCATAGCACATCACAAGCACTGGGTACATCGAGGATGCTATTATTTTTTTACTAGTACTAATAATGAAAAATAACAGGAGACTAGAGTTTGAAAATGTATCTCAAAGAGCATTAGTTTCATAAAAGTCATTATCCACTAACATGATGACATTATCCACCAAAGAATTTCATGTTAACTGCTAGTGACAACTGAGTGGTTCTAGGGACTTTGCACTTGGGTGGGATCCCATAGCTCTGAGATTTCTCTATCCAGCGCCAAACATCTGTGACCCCTGCTCAGAGTTACCAAGGACACATTAATCTGAACAGTCCTTACGTTGTCTCCAGATTTCTGAGTGCCCCTCCAATCTCGCCCAGTCTCCTAGAATATTGGGACTGGAGTGACTCTAGGGCCTGCCCCTTGTTCTACAGACAAGCAAGCACAGCCCTCACAGAGCTACCCGGCAGGTAAGTGGCAGAGCCAGAATTTTGAACCCCAACATCCCAACCTCCAGCTCACAGCTCAGCGTTCACCACATCATCCTGACTCCTTGCAGAGAGCTGCTCTGGGAGACCTGTGCCCTTGGTGTAGGGGGCACTGGGATTCCATTCTCCTGAGCTCCACTAGTGGCCATAGTTATGGATTACAGGAGAAAGAGTGTGACTTGTCCAGTAGCTTTTAAATATAAAACAATTCTGTTGCTAAAACCTTTGGCTCCTCCAGTAACTGCTAGCAAAATATTCCATTTTCTGATAGTGAGAATAGTTAATGTGCAAAGATGCCAAACAACAACCATAATGTGCATCTTCTCTCAAGTGTTCATGCTCAGCATTTTAATCCAGCCTCTCTGCTGGAACTCGAGTCACCTCACTGCTTTAAAAGGTAGCTCTGGGGAATGTTAAAGAGCCACCAAACCGCCTGGGATTCCTATGTGGGGACACTGTTGTGTATGCAAGCAAACAGGATGAAAGAGCCAGCAGAGAAGCGTGCCATGCTCCTGGCACATCGTGGGCCCAAATATGTGGTCTCTCACTACCACAGTTTTCACCTAGGAGAAAAGCAAAGAAAGGAAATAAATGTTGAGTGAATGACTGATTACCAAAGGTGCAATTCAGTAATCACCCACGGCACCATCAGTCATTCTGAGCAATTAAAATTTCACAAACAGGATCATCACGCACTAGGCTTCCAGGGCAGAGCTTGACTCTGTCTCAATGTTCTAGGGCTTTCTCAGATGACACACTGTAGGAGTTCCTGGCATGTGCAACTCCCAATAAAATTTGCCCAGTGGTGCATCTGGCCTGAGTCAAATTTAACAGTCGTGATGGCCCCGTAAAGGCACTTGGCGGGGAAGGGCCATCCCTGCTGAGCAGAAACATGCCTTGACTGATAAGGAATCCCCATCGAATTTGAGACTCAGACTAGACCCAGTGGAAGCTCCCTTCCGTCCCTCATCCTCCATGAAGTCAGCCATAACTCTTATCCTGAGAACCAAGCAGGTCTGCTTCTGGCTCGTGTGACTTAATCACAAGGCTGGCCCTGACCTCATCCCCACACCGGTGACCTCAGAGACTTTCACTCATGATTCATGGCCCACACCCTTAACAGAATAATCCCGGGTGCTAATGCGCTACGCTGGCTGACACTGCAGGGTCCAGAATCCACGATGCCTCCTCTAGAAAGGGCGACGTGTGCTGGTCCTCCCAAGCTACCTCTGGGTCTACGGCGTCACATCTACAGATGCATAGACCCCCACACAGGCCCATTTGTTGAGCACTTACTGTGTGCCCCTTGGTTAAACGCGTTATAGCCATTCTCTTATTTTATTCTCCTGAGAGCCAAATGAGGACGATTTTATTGCATCCTTTTTATATATGAGGAAACGGAAGCTCGAAGATCAAGTCAGTCATCTGAAGTCACACAACTCACAAGCGGCAGAGCTGGGATTAGTGCCCAGACGTGTCTGACTCCAAATCCCAAGCTTGTCGCCTCTGTGCTCTGCAGTGTCGTCTGTCACACCGTCTTCCCTTGCTGAGGTACAGCACTGCACGCCCACATGAAGACAGGGCAGGCAGGACTGGAGGCAGCTGGAACTGGTCCAGGCCTAGCCTCGTTCTTCCATCTGCTCATGCGCCTGGCAGACATTGATAACTACTGGGGGTCAGGTGCTGCGAAACAGCACAGAGGTCCCGCCCTAAGCTTGCGGACTTTGAAGACAAACAAGGACCTATTTCCGAGGCTGCTCTGTCTGAGGCCTATGTGTGTTCACTTTTGCCTCCAGGGGGCATCTTTACCCAGAGCTTTAGGGTGGGGTCACGTTGGGGTCAAGTTGGCTCTTGAGACCTGGATCATGAAAAGTCCAGAGCAGAGGGCCGAGGGCCACCGTTGTTGATTCCGTGCTAGATATTCATCCCAGGGGACCTTCAAACAGTGGAGTGGTCCAGACCTCTCCCTTCCACCTGTCTGGAATTGCTTTTTGGCTACAGCTTGAATGACTCACTAGTAGCAATCTTTCTGGAGCCCTTATAATTCAAGGGAAAGTATTCGGGGTTTCTTCAGTTACTGGCTTAACCTGATGTAGAAGTGCTAGAAGGCCCTGGACGAGTTCTGCTTAATGGGCCCAAACACCCACTAACACTCCCCATACAGTTAATAATATAGGCTTCCTTCTCATGGGGAACCAATGGGATTAGACAATGGTGACTGACCCTTGTGCTTAAGTCACACCAAGTCTGTGTGCACCCTTCCGGAAGACTGTACTTCTCGCAACAAATGGAACATGAAGTGGGTGCAACATTTCTCTAATAATCTCTCTGCGTCCAGAAATTATATTCGCTTGTACTTTAAGTATTCTTGTTAAGGATAGGGAAAGCCTGCCCACTGGGACTGCCCACCTCAAACAGAGGAGAACTCCAATTTCTTCCCCAGGGGAGGTAACCAGAGAGCTGGATGGTGCTCACGGGACTTGGCCAAGAGCTGCAGGCAAACGACTTCTGTCTTCACCCACTATGACCGGCGGGCCACTCCAGCTGGGGGGTACTACACTATTCAAACTTCTAGAACAACCCCACCTTTGGTAAAGAGCTGCGAAACAATGCACGTCATGTCTGAATGTTGCTCAGCAGTGCTTTCCATAGAGAATAAAAGGAAACAAAGATTATTCCTTTGACTAGTCTCTAGCTCTTGATGTCCTAAAATATCCATCTCATTCCTTTATAAAAAGAATGTAGGTCAGCCTAGCCCAGAGAAGGTGCACCCCTGATATTGGCAAGACCCTAAACACAGGCCTTTGAGTATGGTACACTCCTGTTGGTCAAGTGCGTTATGTTCACTGATGGGGAGGGGGCACTATGAATTCTGTAGGGTGACAGGTTTTTAGTTTTATTAGCTTTATTCCTGTTGTGTACCAATGGTTTTCTACTGCAGTGGTTTATGGCAAGCTGCCCCAAATGGTCTTTTCCCCTAAAATCTGCTCATCCTCTGCCTACTTGATGCTACCCATATACAGTTCCCCACTCAAGTCTTGCCTCCTCCAGGAAGTCTGCTATGACTTGTAACCTAAGTATTTTCCCAGCCTTTGTAGGGTGCTCCTTCCAAACCTTGGTCACATAGCACTAATGGCCTCATATGACTTCAAAAGAGGATAGCAATAGTCACCTGGGAAAAAATGCCCTTTGCCCATTAGATGAGAAAGAAAATGGAAAATTGAAACTGCCAAGTGACATTTTAAGGACAGCTCAACTGTCAAAGGTGAGCTTTCCTGGAAACTACTCAATGTATACAACTGTAGCTTAGTGTTCTTGTGCAAAGTGGCAATATACTGCTGATATTTCTTTTTCTTCTCTACCAGCTATGAAAAAAAAAATTGTATATGATGGTACAGCCTTTCTGGGGAACAAATCTACTTCCAAAATGTATCCCAAGGAATTAACTACAGCTGTACACAAAGATGTCCATTGCCATATTAATATAACAGGAAAAAAAAGTAGGGACGTGTAAGTAAATTGTGTTACATCCATTGGAGGAATACTAAGGAGTCATTAAAAACCATGTATAATAATATCTAAAAGTATGGCAAAATATTCACAATATATTGTTAAATGAAAAATGTTATATAACATAAACGGTGTCATCCCAATTTTGCTCATGAAAGAAGTTTATGGCATAAATGCAATGAAAATTACAAAGCAAATTATTATCCCTGGCTTTTTCTTTATTCTCCAAGTTTTCTCCAAGAATATGTATTTTCTTCTTGTCATTTTAACTAAAAAAGGAAGTTACTTTAAAAAAAGATAAAATAAATAAGTGTAGTAAGAATTTGAGAAGAGAGAGACTGTGTAATTGAACATTAATATAGCTTTCTACAGCTAAGGAAAAATGGAAAGTTTTCACGTTTCGTAGTCATTATGGGATAAATGTTTATCTTCTGAAGAACACTTTTCTTTATCCTTACAGTAAACTTTCAAGTTAAGCTTCTCTAACGTGAAAACATTTTTACGCTGTAAACTATTGTAAGGGGTAAAAAGCGGGGAAGATGATTTAGAAGTACTGTCTATACTGGGTGTCTGTTGTTTTTACTATGCAGCATACATGTAACTTTCTTCTGGCACCTGCACCCTGATTTTCCTCTCTGGACCCACCCCTACCCTCACTCTCATGAAGACCATGTGCAAAGGGCGACATGACAGACCCCTAATTCCAGGGACAGGCATTAACTCAGGCCTGACCAATTTAACATCACAGTCCCCAGCCTATAGTGATTGCTTAAGGGATAAACTTTGACCTAATCATAGCCGATGAAATGCAATAAAACTTTTATGGGACTGCTAACAGAAAAACACGTGATCTTTTCTATTGGACTTAAATCCGGGAGGACAAAAGGCTGATGCTGTTAGACACCTTCTTGCCACCACACAGAGTCTGAAGATGAAGCCAAAATAGGGAGAACTAGCGTCAAGAAATAGAGTGAGATTTAGACCTAGTGTTGAGCCCCTGGATCAAACTACACCTGAAGCTCTGTCTATCCCTGTACTTTTTAGTTGCATAAGCCAATAAATTCCCTTTTTATGCTTAAGCCAGAATTGGTTGAGTTTTGTTACTTGTATCCAAAATCTTCCCCTAGAATATCATTGTCAAAAAATAAAATGTGCACAGACAAGATGCTTGTAAATTATCAAGACCTCCATGTTGTCCAAAATAACATTCTTTGGACCTCTTTTGCCCTGAAACATGATTACAGCATGGGATGTCTGCCAGAAGACATCCCCAAAGCAATGATACTGCTATATTTAGACTTGGTCCATCATTTGATGGACCAAAATGTATGCCTAGGAGGAGGACAGCACAGTGGGCACTTTTGTGGAGCAATTGCCACAATAGAAGTGACTCTGAGCAGAGTTTGTCAATGGGAAGCAGGAAGGCCTACGAAGGACCAGGCACAGTGATGCATTTGATGTGCTGACTGAGAAAGCAAGGAGCATGAGAACAGCTCCAGAAAATCTGAGGGACCCACACCAACACATGGCTTCAATAGATGTATGTCCCTGTGAGATAATAGAAAATATCTGTGCTGGCCTCTGCCCCTGGTTCCTGGCGCACAGCTCCTAAAACCCTTGTAATTTCCCAAGTGATAAGAGCACTGGGAGCATCTTTTGTTCTAATGAGGTGACTCTGGGTGGGCTCGTGGACGGGGGCTGGTCACCAGAAAGACCAAGCCATGACTGGAAGCTTGGAATTTTCAGCCCCGCCCCACCGTTCTCTTGAGACGGGAGAGGGGCTGAAAATGGAATTAGTGATGGGTCATGTCTACGTGATGAAGCCTCCACAAAAAGCCCAATAGTATGGGATTCAGAGAGCTCCCAGGTCGGTGAACACGTGCACATACCGGGAGGTGACACACCCCAACTCCAGGGACAGAAGCTCCTGCGCTCGGGACCCTCCCAGACCTCACCCTATGCATCTCTTCATCTGGCTATTCATCTGTTTCCTTTATCATACAATAAACTGGTAAACATAAGTCAGTGTTTCCCTGAGTTCTATGAGCTGTTCTAGCAAATAATCGAATCCAAGGGGGAGGAGGTCATGGGAACCACTGATTTGTAGCCACGTTGGACAGAAGTTGTGGGTGACCTGGGGACCTACTGCTTGCGATTGGCATCTGACATGGGGAGCAGTCTTGTGGGACTGAGCCCAGCCTCTGGGATCTGATGCTCTCTCCAGGTAGATAGTGTCAGAATTGAGCTAAATTGTAGGATGCCCAGCTGATGTCGCAGACAATTATTGGTGTGGGGAAAAACACCCACACACTTGGTGACCAGAAGTGAAGTGTTCTGTGTGAGTAGTAAAGGAAAAACACAGAAGGGCAAAACTGGGTTTTTTTCCAATATAGTCCCAAAACCCAGACTTCTTTTTGGAAATGCTGCAGATGCTCCCAAGAGGATATTGTAGTGCAAAGAACACGTGTTTTAAGTCCTACAGGCCTGAATTACGATCCCAGCACTGGCACTTACTGGCTGCGTGATCTTGAGCTATTTCTTAAACTCTCAGCTTTCTTATCTGTGGCATTTAGATAATAATATGTACCTGGTACTAGCTCTACCAGTTGTGCTAGTCATTAGGGAAGCTCACAGGCAGTCCCGTCCTCCCGCCAGGTAGACGCCCCATGCCTTTGGAGGCTGGTGTGTCCTTGTGCTCGGCTTTGGGAAGTGAAACGTGAGCAGAAGTGCCTTGTGTCTGTTGAGGTGGAAGCTTCCAGAAGCAGAGCATGATTTACTGGGTCCCCTTCTACCTGACGACGTGATTCTAGAGGCAATTTTCAAATTGGATCTCTGTCAGCCTGAGTCACTTGCTGTCTGTATGAGCTAAACTCATCTGCTGAACTGTGCTGGATATAAATCACAAGTGAGAAACAGATTTTGCTTTGTTCCTTATTTCAGTGTAACCAAGCCCATCCTGTTTGCTACACCAGGTTAGACCCTGTCACATACGTGAGTCACTTAGAGATACACTGTACGTAATTAAATTATAGAATTTACATGTTTGCTCAAACTTTTGAACCTCTCCATATATGACAATCAGTGTTAAGGGACTTCTAGGACATTAAAAGCAAAATTAGGAAGATTCAAAATAAAATGGATATGGGTAGGAAGGATTGATAACACCCAGGGCCAGGGAAGATGTCGGAGCACAGTGTCATCCCTGCTATGAGGAATGTCGATTGCATAAGTTTTCTGAAGGAGAATCTAGCCCTGTCTACAAAAGTTTGACCTACTTTAGAAATTTCCTCTTAGACAATTATGAGATACTTATGCAAAGAAGTGTGAATAGGATGCTCATTCGTGTATTAGTAAGAGTGAAAGATTGCAAATGACCTAAATGTCTCACGGTAGGAGGCTAGTCACATAAAGCATGGGAAATACATGGAACGCTGTGCAGCCGTAAAGAACAGGAGGTCAAGCCATATTTTTGAGTACAAATATATCTGTGATACGTTATTTATAAAAGGCAAAGTAAAACAGCATATACTGTATGAATCTGTTTTTATAAATGTATATTTGCAATACTGAAAGAGCTACCTAAATGTCACTAATGGATCTCTTTCTGTAACAAGCTACAATTGATTTTCACTTTCTTCTTTTTTCCTTCTGAATGCCTAACTCTTTTCTGTTTTCTTTTTTTTTAATTTATTTATTTTTATTTTTTTGCTGGCAAAGATTCACCCTGAGCTAACATCTATTGCCAATCTTCCTCTTTTTGATGAGGGAGATTCACCCTGAACTAACATCTGTGCCAATCTTCCTCTATTTTTTTTTTGATTGAGGTCATAACAGTTTATAACATTGTGAAATTTCAGTTGTACACTATTATTTGTCAGCCAACATATCAATTCGCCCCTTTATCTCTTGTGCCCACTCCCCGACCCCCTTTCCCCTTGGTAAGCACTACACTGTTCTCTTTGTCCATGTGTCAGTTTAACTTCCACATATGGGTGAAATCATATGGTGTTTGTCTTTCTCTGCCTGTCTTATTTCACTTAACATAATACCCTCAAGGTCCATCCATGTTGTTGCAAATGGGATGATTTTGTCTTTTTTATGGCTGAGTAGTATTCCATTGTATATATGTGTATATATACCACAGCTTCTTTATCCAATCATCATTCAGTGGGCACTTGGGTTGCTTCTACATCTTGGCTATTGTGAATAATGCTGCAATGAACATAGGAGTGGATAAGTCTCTTTGAATTGTTGATTTCAAGTTCTTTGGATAAATACTCAGGAGTGGGCTAGTTGAGCCATATGGTATTTCTATTTTTAATTTTTTGAAAAAATCTCCTTACTGTTTTCTGTAGTGGCTGCACCAGTTTGCATCCCCACCAGCATTGTGTGAGGGTTCCCTTTTCTCCACATCCTCTCCAACATTTGTTATTTTTTGTCTTGGTGATTATAGCCATTTTAACAGGTGTAAGGTGGTATCTTAGTGTAGTTTTGATTTGCATTTCCCTGATGATTAGCAATGTTGAACATCTTTTCATTTGCCTGTTGGCCATCTGTATATCTTTTTTGGAAAAATGTCTGTTCATATCCTCTGCCCATTTTTTGATCAGGTTTTTTGCTTTTTTGTTGTTAGTTGTGTGAGTTCTTTATATATTTTGGAGATTAACCCATTGTCAGATACATGATTTACAAATATTTTCTCCCAGTTGGTGGGTTGTCTTTCTGTTTTGATCCTGGTTTCCTTTGCCTTGCAGGAGCTCTTTAGTCTGATGAAGTCCCACTTGTTTATTTTTTCTTTTGTTTCCCTTGTCAGTAGACATGGTATTCGAAAAGAGCCTTTTAAGACTGATTTCAAAGAGTGTACTGCCTCCATTTTCTTCTAGGAGTCTTCTTTCTCTATTTTGTGTGTGAGTCACTGCCCCAGCATGGCTGCTGACAAGTGGTGTAGGTCTGCACCGAAGCAGAGCATGCCAAACTTAACCACTAGGCCACGGGGCCAGCCCCTCTTTTCTTTTTTTATAATAAACATATATCGTTAGTTTTTTTCTTTTTTTAAGATTGGCACCTGAGCTAACATCTGTTGCCAATATTTTTCTTCTTCTCCCTAAAGCCCCCCAGCATGTAGTTGTAAATTCTAGTTGTAGGTCCTTCTGGTTGTGCTATGTAGGACACTGCCTCAGCATGGCTTGATGAACAGTGCTAGATCCACGCTCAAGATCCAAACCGGCAAAACCCTGGGCCG